ATTTGGTATTAGCTAACAAATGTTAAAGTGTATGAATAAATGTTAAAAATTTGTTACATTTAATTTTACTGTTTTACTGGTTACTGCATTAGCAGTGCAGCGATTTTACTTAAGATACAAATAAAAAAGATTTATTTAATACAGAGAAGTTCAACCAAAAAATTGATGCTTATTAACCTGTTACAACAGAACAGAATTTCAATTGCTGTTGTTGTCGTCGTCGTCGCCGTTGTTTCCGTCATTTGCTTCTATTTGTACGACGTAAATTAAAAAAAAAAAAAGAAAAAAGAACAGGAAAAAGTTATTAATAATGCAGTATAATTTTCTGTATTAGTCTTCATCGTCGTATCATTTCACCAATTTCTTCTCTGTACTTTCTTCGCATCCACTGTTATCATCCATCGTTAGAAGGCCGTTGAATGCTGCTGTAAACGAGAAGTGAAGATGATTCCCACAAAGCGCTCAGTTTTTCAACAGGCCATTAACCGTACGTCTCATGTGACTTTCTTTTTTTTTTTCCACTTTTTTTTCCCTTTAATTTTTTTCTTCAAACTAACAAAAAAAAAAAAAACAAAATTTTTCATTTTCTTTCTCATCATTTTTTTTTCTGCTGATAATTATTGAGAAAAAATTTGTGCGCAAAATTCTTTGAAAAAATAAAAAAGAATAGAATTTTTTTCTTTCTTTGGTCTCATCTCTTCTTTTTTCCTTTCATCAGTTTCCTTCCATTGTTGCGAATTTGCTATGACCATTTAAAACTACATGCAATACATTATAAAAAAAAGAAGTACATTTGCTTTGGTTATTAAAATACATATGTGTGAAAGTGTCAATCAGTAGTTTTCATTAAAAAAAAAAAAAAAGAAAAAAACTTTCATATAAAATTTATTCTTAAGTTTTTTTTTTTCTATTTTTGCAAATTGTCTAAGTGAACAGAATGTCTGAACCGGCTTGAACTGCGACAAGACCAAAAAAATTTTCTACGATAATGTCAATGTCAGATAAATGGTTTTTTGTCGTTTGTAAAATAGATTAAAAATGCTTAGCAAAATAAATAAACAAATAAAGAATTAGTTTTTGATTGAACAAAAAAAAAAATTAAGAAGAAGAAGATAAGAAGAATAAAACAAACTTTTCCAATGACATACCTCTTCGCTGTTTTTTTTCAACTGTTTTGGGGTTTTGTAATTAAAGAAGAAGAAAAAAAAAATTAGTGTCTTGATACAAATCTCAATAATTGTTCAATTTTTTTAATTTCTAATATTATTGGCTAAGATGTTAAAAAAAACACTGTTGTTGGAATAACAAATCAATTTTTTTTGAAGCAATTTTTTATTGCAAAATAAAAAACAAAACTGTATATGGGCTGTAAAATAAATGTTGAAAATTGATAGAATTTTTAGTTGATTTGATGAACAATTGACGAAACAAACGTCAACACATTGATGGACAACAGATTAGACCTGTTCAGAATACCCTATAATCTTAATTATTTACACTAATTGTTAGATATG